TCTTCTAATCATCGTTTTTGCACATTTTATTTCAAACCGGTACGTGATCCACTAGAGTTATTATAAAATACGACAGAAGGGCTGTTTAAAGACTCGAACAAAAATCCTTATGGCCCTTAATTTCATTGGACAGAGACTTAATGAAACTCGGAAACAGCTAGAGGGTTTTGATAAAAATAAGCAGAATTAAGGGAGTGATAACAAATTTAATAATCATTTCGCTGGAACTGGTTTCATTATTCGTAACGCTTAAGCTCTTTAGACTGCATATACTTCGTTATCTAAGCTATTGTGATGAACTGGTGAAATCACTGTTACCTACTTTGGGCAAAGTGCTTTTGATTGACAAAGGCGAGATGAACTAGAAAAATTCAATTTTTTTTTTATTGTTACGGACCTTTAATTCACATTCGCAATCGAGTATATAGCTTCAGGTCGGTCGTAGGTATGATATGAATCACTTACTGTTTTCCCAGGAAAATTTACTTGCCTGCTGAAGCGTTGCCGTCTAGTCGTTCTCTCTTGGCGACAAAATGCAAAGATATATCTCCAACAATCGGCGATATCTCAGGGGAATGGACCACGATATTCGGCGATAATCGATTGCATTATTTTTCATACTACTGTAATATCATATAATACAATGTCGAAATATGACCATCTAATTTTGAACTAATTCTTGCTATTTAAAGGTTAGATACTTATATAACCGAAGGTGTTCGCGGTAACAATTGAAATAAATGTAAGTTAAATTAATGAGTCAGTCAGTATTGTAGTATACGCATCCTGATACAATCTTGTTCTACAAAAAGAACCTGTGCTACGCCAGATATGAAAAACAATTAAAAAAACCCTGTAGTGGCACTTGACACTATGTTTTGTCATTTTGATCTCTTAATAGAATTTTGTTGTCAAAAATATTTTTAAAAGTTAAGTTATTTTCAACGCAAATCTATTATGGAAATTCCCAATTCTCTTCAGCGGTATTTTTAATCAAGCTTACTTGGCATGGAAAAAACAAGTGTTTGCTTTACACAGACAGACACCTTTATTTAATCTAAGGCTCAGGTGGTCGTTTCAGTTGCTTGAAGACTATTGTTTCCCGCTTGTTTCTCTCGAGCTAAATTAGTGAAACAAAATACTTTTTATCAATCCGTCCGTGGGAGCCCTGTTTCCCGCTCGTCTCCATTGAGCTAAATTAGTAAAAACACAACACCCGCAATGGATGCATCAGCAGGAGCCCTGTTTCCCGCTAGTCTCTCACGAGCTAAAGTAGTAAAACACAACACCCCCAATCGATGCATCAGTAGGAGCCCTGTTTTCCGCTTGTTCCCCTCGAGCTAAATTAGTAAAACACAACACCCTCAATCGATGCATCAGTAGGAGCCCTGTTTCCCGCTTGTCTCTCTCGAGCTAAATTGGTAAAACACAACACCCCCTTAATCGATGCATCAATAGGAGCCCTGTTTCCCACTTGTCTCTCTTGCGCTAAATTAGTAAAACACAGCACCCCCAATCAATCCATCAGTATAAGCCCCGAAGACTAATTTTCCATGCTTGTCTTTCTCGAACTAGATTAATAGAACAAAACACTCCTAATTGAATTGTAGTTGAGGAGAACAGCATAATAATTTTTTTTGCGTAAGATTTTCCATCTGAACGGATTTGAATTAAGTTTAAGAGACCATAGCCGATTGATCATGCGGGAGTCTTCGATCAATTTCTAATTTACAGAATTAATTCAGCTTTTTGCCATGAGAGTTCAAGCTTTACATTTTTTATCTATTTATATAATAATTTATTTTTATATAAATAGATAAAAAATGGAAGCTTTTGGTTTGGAAGAGGGCTTATGTCTGCTGTTATTATTATTTTTCTCATCTCCTCAAAGTCACATTCTTTGCAAATAAACAGACCCAGGAAACTAGCATCTCATCTTTATACATTTACATAAGTTTACACTTATTCATCAGTCACAAAGGAGAAAAATCATGGACATTTCTGGGAAACATGGAATGAAAAGTGACGAACAAGCTAAACAGCTGCAATTTTTTCCAAATGCAAGAAGCCATTTTCTTAAAATGAATTTAGAGAACAAAACAGCAATGGAACAAACATAAAAAGTTAGTAGAGAAAGATGAATATCTAATGATGACGGAACGGAATAGATCGAAAGAGCAATAACGACAACAGCAATCAAAAAATCCACCTAAACCTTAGCAAATAGGGTGATATTTCAGACAGCTGGAAAGCCAACCACACTTCCACGTTTGTTTCGCCTGTCAAGTAACCCGTCACCCTTGTCACCAGCTGAAATGGCTTTGTTTGACGCATTCCATGCCCTTTGGTTGCGGCAACGGAGAAGTTTGCGAAATTCCCTTCTGAACTCGCCATTTGTGAAAGTATAAATAAGTGGATTTACTGAAGCACTCAGATAAGAAAAAAAGACGTCAGGTAAGCCTCGACTTGGTAAGTCTAAGTTTGACATCGTGTCTACCAAAAAGTGTCAAATCAATGATTTAGAAATAATAGATATAAATATATATATATATGAATAGATAAATACGCAAATTTATGAATAAATATGTAGACAGATTTATCAGTAATATACAGCTTAAAAATTAAACACCCAGTGGATACACGAGTCGATGGTGTTCTTTGTTTCATCCATCCGTAAAATGTTCTAGTCGCAGTTAAATAAATATCATTTCTTCGCAGGTTGTTAAGATTTTGATCAATTCTTAGCTTTCAGTTAAGGCCCATGCAGGAATTCTAACTGAACACGTGAAAGCCTTATACGCTAGCGTAGAAGGAGAAGGAGTGATTGAGTGATAGATGCGATGAGTGAATTTGAGTCCTAACAACTACTTGGAAATTTTTCTTCAGCAGTTTTGTCAAATGAGTAATTGTAACAGCTTGCATATACAATGCCACCATGAATGATGGGAATGTTCACGGACGGACTCACGGGCACGATAACAAGGAGTCTACGATGCCTTGGGCAACGTAGACTCAAAAAGAAGAAGATTGGTAGAAGAAATTACTTGCTCACCTTAATTGTTATCAGTGTTCGCGACATCTCGACTAACGTTTTCAATTCACAATTATTTACCTAAATCTAAGATATTAGCCGTAAACGCCACGTGATTTCTCTGCTTTGGTACTTTGTACTCGATATTTCTAATCCATGAAAGAAGCTCATTTGCGTATCACATTTGTTTAAAGCTGACCACCGCTTAATTTCAAGGCTTTCTTCTAATAATGTCACTTAATCAGTTTCTACATAGTTTTATTTTTTTGCAACATACACCGTTGGTAGATTTTCCATAATTTTTCTTCTTTCCAAAGGAGATGATTTTTATAAAATTAAGATTCGCATAAAGTTTACTCAGACTCGAATGCAGGCTGTCTATGTATGAATATTTAGTTGTTTCTCAACTCACGTAAGCCTAATCTTCCCTTTTTTTTATATATTTGTCTGTCCTTTTTTCCAAGAAAGTGAAATTTTCTTTGAATTCTTTGAATCGAATTTCAAAAGTATATCAGAGACATAAGAAAGGTGCTTCTCAAGAGATGCAGTATGTATGTTAGTTTAGGACGAGAAAGAATAAACAGCATTCAGCAAAAGCGGGGTTGAAATCAATGCATAACAATGACATGGCAACCATTCGATTTTGGCATTTCAGTGTTAACATTGTTCATTTCAAAAAATGCGTTCTTTTTTCCAACCATGCCATTTCAAGGTTGTATATTACGCGAAACTTGGAATCAATTGTCTTCTTAACGAGAGTTGTTATCCCATCTTTCAGCTTATACTTTTATGTTTCCTTTTGCTTACTATTTGCGTAAAAACGCGTCTAAAATTTAAAGTTTTGAGTGAGTAATTTAAATTGGCTGACGTAAAGACGTTCCTGTTGCTGTTGTTGGTTTTGGATTTTTATTTTTTTCAAAAGGGCTCTATTTTGCTGATAGTTTCCCCTGTGTTTGATATGAATCAATATACAAATAAATATGTTACTTGTATTTGGAAAGATATGCTTCAGAAGAAATTAAAATAAAAAGTCATTTGTTTGATGAAATATTCAACAATGGACTTTGGTCACTAAATAATTGTCTCAACATACCTCACCTTCAAGAACTTTCCTTAAGGGTTCTTTGTTTTGCCAAAAAGCTACGGCGATATCACTTATAATCGAGTAAAGCATTTGCATCACAAAACCAGCTGTTTATAACCTAGGAACAAGCAATCAATAACAAAAGTATAGGTCACATTCGGAATAATTATCGGTCCAACACAAAATCGGCAGCTTTAAAAGGCTGTGTTTTCTTGAAAGATTATAGATGCAAAAAAAGCTAATTGCATGGAGTCTTTCTAAATTCACAATTATTTACCTCAATGAAATATATAAGCTGTAGACGCCACGTTATCTCGCTATTTTTGTTTCCTTTTTTTTGTTTTTTTACTTCTCAAAGATTGTTATCATCCCTCATAAAAGGGTTTTAAAATTATCATTCTTCCTTTGTTTAAATTAGTATTTACGCACACGCGCGTGGAAACATAAAGGGTGCGCGGGTTTCCTAAACAAAAAAAACTCAAAACAGTGACCGTTTGGACTTTTTGACTCCTCCTCCTCCTCAAGCGAGGTATTTGCAGCACAAAACCAATTGTTTATAACCTATGAGCTGCCGAACAAGAATCGTCTTCCGAATAATTTATGTTCCAACACAGAATAGGCACCTGTCAAATTTTTTGTGATAGATGACAGGGATAATTGGTCACAATGACTGAGGGTGCCAAGGGGCTGAATGCTTTTCAAAACCTTGACCACATTTATACAGATATTGCTATTTCTACTGATTGGTTGATTTTACAAGTAATGTCAAAACTTTGCCAAGCGCCTCTTTTAATTCATTTACTAAGAGGATGGGATTAATGGGATTCATTGTAGCACTTAGATTAAAAAAAGAAGGAAAAAATTAAAACAACAAGCATCGCTACTCATAGACAGGTTTCCGGGAAAAGTGAGTCCAAAGGATGAGTGCCTGCCTTGGTATCCAACAACACAGAATCCCAGCAGCTACGAACAACAACACTCGACTAAAGTTTATTCCCTCATTGAGGTGCCGTTCATTCTTTTGTTCATGAATCGTGCATGAATTCGAATCCACCAACGTTTCGTTCAACTTTTTCCAGGCGTATGTCTTATACGTCGTTACTATTAAAAAAGGAATCGAAAATTAAAATGACGAAAGCAATTGAGTGATAGGTGGAATTTTTTTGGAGTTTCACCTCACTGAAGGAAAAAAAGCTGCATCCGCTTCCAGTTTCCCATTGTTTCAAGACTTGAAGAAAAAATTATCATCTCAAGTCGATGATCAACAAAATATCTGACGTGCAGCCGAGCTTATATATCCGTCTCGCCATGGGTTTTAATTTATAGGTGAAAGGGCTTTACAAAAATGGGGACAAGGAAAAGAAATATCCCAAACATTTCAAATCAAGGAACTGAATTATTTAAAGAGTATTTGATCTTTTAAGAATTTTCTAAAAGTCTATTTACACGAGGACAAAAGCCCCACGGTGACTGCAATCAAAAAAGCTTCGCAATTTCATTTAATTTGAGTTCGTAACTGTGAATTCTGTACTGAATTTTAATTCAATGAGACAAGAAAACGAAAGAAAAAAAAACAAATGGACATCAGGCGCTGCCCGAGATCTGCCGACTTCGAGTGCGTGCAAGTTATTTAATTCCGCCTTCAAACTTGAAATACTTTTCATCAATGAATTAAAGATTGTGACTTCCAATTATTTAACATACCAAAATTCATTTTAAATTATGATTTCTGCTAAGTAAACGCCTACCATGCTTTTGTTAATTTTTAAGACCAGCTGATGAACCAGGAACTTTTTTTTTTTCCATTTTGAACTTCCCCGTAGTGACATTTGCAATTCACTCAACGGTGGGAAAAAAGCCTGAAAGCATTCAAGACCCTAACATCTGTAAGTCTGATAAGGATTTCAAGGGAAAAAAATTTTTTACATTGTTGGAGTGTATTTGAGATGCTGCGTAATTTCCGACAATGAATCTCAGAAAATTACTGCGAATTTTGCGGGTTTACGACTTTTCATCGGCACTATTTATTAGGAATATAACTTTTTAATTAGCCTGTATTGTTTCTAGCTATTGCTCCTTCGATGCATTCATGCTGTCATCTACAATATTTGATAGGCAGTTGAAATTACAATGAAAAACTTAAATTAATACTAACTGTGATACGTTTCTCTGTATGCTAAGCAAAAATATGCGAAAGAATACAGAAAATTGCAATGGGACTAGCTGGTTGATCAACTTTAAGCCAGAATCACGAGTCATTTGCTGAATTAAGGGGAACGTGGTGGTTTCAATAAGCCCACAATGCAGCTAGTGAGGCATTCTAAGAATAACCTTATTCCGACCAATCTCGGTTTAAAGTAACTGTTATTGCCGCCCTGTGTAAATTCAGCGCGCGCGTTATGCTGAGTCGTAAGCTAAACAAGAGTAGCTGTTTAAGCATGCCATAAGTAGAATCTTGTGCAGACGGTTGGATGCTTGCACGGTCGTACAGTAACAAACGTTCTCGGCGGGATCGGTTACTGGCCCAATTTCATAAGTATGGGGCTAAGCTCTGAGGGCTCCACTATGACTAACAGTAGGTATGGGGACTAGAAATGTGCGTTTGGAGGAAACCGATCGGACTTTCCGTAATATTTCCAAACCTTCCTGTATAACCTTCTTGACGTCGCTCGTGAGTGCCTTGAAACAAGCTACACAACACAGGCCAGTAAGGAATTTGTGATCAACTTTAAAAATACTACGTTTACATATGAGTTAACCATTAAGCGTTTAGTAATTCTATAACGTAAACAAATAAAACCCCAAAAATTACGCAGACACACACCCACACACGCAATTCAAAACAAAAAAAAGAGACCAAACCACGAAATCAACAAGAAAAAAAAAACAATAAAATAAAAATTCTATCCAGCTTTCAAAAGATGATATTGCTCTGACACGAGTCTACGAGACATAAAAATTCGCTCAATGTTCCTCCCATTCCACGCAATCGTTTTTAGTTACCGATTGGCACCATTCTTACCCTTTTACGGCAGCAACAGAGTAATTTTCGAAATTCCTTCCGGAACACGCCATTGGTGAAAGCGTAAATAATGGGATTTACTGAAGCACTAAAAAAAAAGATAAAAATATTAACCAAAGCTGCAATTCTTGGGCAGGTTTCAGGGGAAAAACGAAACCAGAGGACTATTGCCCACATTGGTATCCAGGAACACAAAAATCCCGCGGCCACGATGAACAGCATTCGAGTAAGATTGGTTTCTTTCACTGAGTTGTTTAACGCACCATTGTCAGTTCTGTTTTGTAGCGAACTGACCACATTCTGTTGATGCTCGTTGGTTTTGAGAAATATCTTATAATAACTAAAAGTACCGATGCACAGCGGTGCAACAAAAAGCAATCCAACAGTGATACAATAATGAACGATTTGACTTTCATCGCTTGGATAAGAAAAGGCGCACAATGCAAAGCTTTGAACGAAATTAATTGTGATCCAATTTGTGACTCGGACAATCAGCAGGTAAAGTGCAAGGGAAAGCCACAAGCAACTCAGCCATATCTTAGATCTTCGGGGTGAAAAAATCTTATTGTAGTGGTTCGTCTTCACAATTTTGAAGTAACGGTTAAACGCTGTCAAACCGAGGGTTGCTGGGGTCACGTAATAGGCGAATTCAGCAACAAAGCCTTGAATTTGGCATAAAGCGTCGCCAAAGTCCCATTTTCCAACGATCAGCGTTGAAGAAGTCAGAGGTATTTCTATGGTTGCAACTAAAAGATCACTGACTGCTAAGGCAATGATGTACAGGTTGGTAGTGGATCGCAGGTTAAGGTTTCTGTAGGCTGCCACACAAACCAGACTATTTCCAATAAGGCTCGTAATGTTGAGAGCAACGCAAATGCTTGCCTCAATTACAACAACAGCTATGCTTCGACTTGGTAGCTCTAAGTTTGACATCTTGTCTACCTGAAAAAGCACAATGAATGAATAAGTGAATAAATAACTGATTTTCTTTCCAATACGTTAGGCTGTCTAGAAAAGCTCGTTTCTTTTTTTACAATCACGGCATCAAGCATGTGTTTTCCGGTCGGTCCTAATGTATGTTTGAGGCACGTCACCTACCAATCTTTCATAACAGTTTCGAGTCGTGCACAAAGTTAAAATCAACATAAATTTTAGGCAGCCATATATGCTCTTCAGTTAAATCTTGTTATCAATGTATTATTTGAACACATCTCCATCGTTACATATAAGGTTAGAGGACAACGTATTTTGAAAATATCTTTACATAAACAAATAACAACTAAAACGTATTAGATGGTTTGAACATGGCCTTCACTGAGTCCAAGCATTTTAGACGTAATTGTCACAGATTGGCATTGTAGTTCAGAAGCTAGATCTTGTAATCACTTTTTCCTGAATTTTGGTTGAATCAATAGAAATATTAAAGAGTATGGTGATGCTCCTCAGTTGCGAAAATAGTTTTTAGCTAAAAGCGAATGGATAAGTAAATAATTTTCATAGCCTACCTCATTTAAAAAAAAACTTCTTATATGAATCCACGGGTTCTTTATAATGTTCCGGCAAAAACTCTCAGAATCGAACGAGGAGTTTGCTTTGTGATATCAGCACTTAAATTATAAGCTGTACTCGGCCGAGCTCTCAATAATCTTTCCTAATATGTTCAAAACAGACAGAAGGCACCTTTAATTACTTTTAAGGCTCAGGGTGGTCTTTTTCAGCCGCTTGAATACAACCTGCTATCAATAGGAACCCTGGGCGTAGTAACATAGAATTGATTCAATAAGAGCCCTAAGCACGGTAACAGAGAATTGTTTTGATAAAATTTACATAAAAATGAATGTTATATAAAACTTGAATAAATTGAATGTTACGCAAATGTTACTTAGAATACACGTTATTTCAGAGTTACAACAGATTAATATTATATAAACAAGTTGCATAAAATCAATGTTTACTCATGCATAAGATTGAAAATTCACTCTTAAAATTAATGCTCGAAAATTTTCCTTACCGCAACAACCTCACACTGTATTTCAATAATCTAATGTTGGTCTAATTAGCGAGATGTAGAAATCACTGACACTCTTAGCTGTGAAATTGCTGTTGAGAGCCTAATATGCCTATGTACTTGCTTTCCGTAAAGATCATTTGCCTAACATGACTGCTCCAACTAAGGCGATCATCAAATTCCACGCCTAGATAACCAAACTCGTGAACCCTGTTAAAGCAAGCATTCAGTGTTTGAGACATTCAGCGTTCAATTTTATACAGTTCTTCACTGAGCCTCTTCTCAATAGCACACACTTCTGTATCACTTGCGCGCGTCGGTCAGTAACCGTGACGAACGCTCATTTAAAATCACTCCAGGGTTTATTTAACCTATTTGTCCTTTCTGAAAAGCCTGTCCCAAATTAACCGTCGTTTCTGTTGGGCTTCAGCCATGTCTCGGACGAAGTTACCAATTGTATTCTTGAGTACCGTCTATGCAACAAAAGGCGAAGCTTAGCTCAGTGTTTACTTTTGTCGCTAAGAGCCTGTTTGGTTTGGTGAACAAATTTAGGCCTCAAAGTATCATAACCTCCCGCAGCTTCGGTGGAATAAAATGCTCGCCCAGCTCACTGGTCTCTTCAGGTTCTGGATTGCTCTCACTGCACTGACGATGCTATCGATTCAATTCAAAATCGGCGCGCAGACAATTAAGATGATAGATTCACTTGCAGATCGTACAAGATAAATGAGGATGCTTCTTTGGCATAAATTTTGATAAAAAATGCGCTTCAATGCTTCAGTTTCGAGTTTATTTGTAGAGCCCAGGTTTAGGCTTATATCAATGGACAGCAAGTATTCAGCACATATCCATAGATAACCTGACCAAGCTGACGTCAGCTCTTTCCTTCTAACATGGCGGAACTATAGTGGGGATTGAGGCCCAAATTTCGGCATGGGTACTGAAGCTTGTCACAAGTAGAAGCAAAAGAATAGAAGAGGTGGTATCAAGTCCTTGTTTAGCGTTTGTAGAAGCGATAATAATCGAAAGCATATCAGGTAACAAACGTCAAACAAAGAGAGGGAGAACTTCCCAATCCACTTTCCGACCGCCATAATCAGATGCATCAGGTGAAATTAGAGAAGATCCATCGAAACGTTGAAAAACGATGGTGTCGTTATTGTTATAGTTATTTGTGAAGTAAATAATTGGCATAGTTTATCTTATCTTATCTCAAACAACGTTCTTAGACAGAACTCCGCAAAAGTAATGCAAACGATTATTTTCGAATATCTCGTTTTGTCATTCCATGTAAAGGCTTTTAATAACTTTCCGACGATAACACTCAGAATCAAACAATGCTTTCTCATTGCAAAATTCAGCATTTTATAGGTTATGCAAAGCCGTTCAATAAGAAAACAGTAGATCGCGCACTGAATAATAATATTTAACAATATGTACAAAATGGACGCATGATTTTCTGTTCTTTGGTTTTTGTATAAAGACTGCATGGCAAAAAAAAATAGAATGGATCCATAAAACATATGGATAGTGAACTAACCCGAGTCTGAAATAATTTGTCATCTGATGTTAAATAATTTTATAGCTTACCTCATCTATGAAAACCTTCTTCTATGATATGGATCCTCGATCTCTTCATAATTTTCCCGGAATAACACTTAGAATCGAACAGGGTGCTTGCATAGCAAAACCTTCATGCGATGAGCACAGCTGTTCAATTAGAAAATTGCAGACTGAGAGTTGATTAAAATTTTTTTTTCAAAAAAGCCTTTTTAATTTTTTTTTTCTTTTCTTTCTTTTTCTTTTCAATTACTTATGATACGCGACAATTAAAGGATGACTGTTGCCTGTGGCTAGGGATTCAAAAGGAGTTAATAGTTTCTCTCACTGGTTATATACACTCTGATCGATTATTTTGATGAGTTACGTTAACAATTCTAAATAGCGTTGTTTAACTCATTCAATAAGGTAACAGATGGTTGCATGGGTGAGATTTCCAGGACGTAGAATTGTGTTCAGCGATTTATCGTTTCCTTTAAGCAGATCGCCATTATGAGCTAGCCGCGATGGACCTCAGCATGATCAGTTACTTTTAACAGTTGTGCTAATTTGGCTACATTTTTTATCATTCCTGTCTTGATCTGTTTTGAACACGAAATTACGTATACTATAAGTATTAGCAGTGTTTTATTTTTTTGTACCGTAAGTAAGCTTGCAATCTAACTGAGCGTGAAAACCTTCAAAAGTCGGACTATCCCCTTCGTTTTCTCATTGAGGATTTTCGTCTCTGCTCACGATATAACAATGTAAATTGAGGCGCTTGGCATGTTTTCAAACCTTTGTTCGGTTCTTCTGTTGCTACTTAGCGGCTCACTTGTTCCAAAGTTTCACTTTTAATTAACGAAAAAAAGCTAGAGAGAAGTCTATGAAAGGTCGGACATAATATAAAGCGGCAGATGGCGTGACAGCTTCAACTCAGCTCTAAGCTCTGTTCTCTGATGGAAGATGCTCTTTCAACCAATGAAGACGCGCAATACACCCGAACTTTATTATGATATCAATACAGGCAAAATGACAGCTAAACTCAGAATTAGAAAATCTTGTAGAGCATATCAAAATCCAAAGATAATACTGTGTCGGTTCCAAGGATAGGCCGAGAGTAGTAACGCTTCAACTGAACTCAGCAAATTCAGTTGCATTTTTCAGTCATAATTCGTATCTCGTTAACAAATTGAAGCATCCTCAACGCCTAACCTAATTTCGTCCTTTTTTTAAAAATAAATAGGCATTCTTTAGCAGTCTCGTATTCATTCCGATGGAATGGAAAAATAATCTGGAAAATTTTGAAACTGGCGTCTAAACAGAAATCTTAGCAAAACCCAGCTTATCCTAGAAACTATGTTTCGTTTCTTAAAAGATACAATAAGGATCAATATTGGTAACGGAATGAATGCTAACCGAAGAAGAATGAAAATAGACTCCTAAAAGTATATTGCGCGCGCTATCAGCTCCACGTGTTCCTGGTTTGGCAAACTTTGCTGTAATTATAAATTGCTTCGTTCATTGATTAAGTTATTAATCTTCGATTTCCATCTTTTTTGTTTTCAGTTTTGCTTTTTCTTTCATCCACGCAACCAAACGGGCGAAACACAGCCGATATGTCTAGGAAGCAATGCAAAAACGAAGCCCGAAAATCAATTATCATCATTTCCGTGAATTTGGCACAATACTGAAACTTTTAGCATCAGTGAACACTAAAGGTTGTTATGCTGTTTAAATTCATGTAACCTTTACGATATTCGAAATATATGGTTATTTTCAAAAATAAAATCCAGGAAATTACATACTACAGGATGCCTTGTGACTTTTCAACGGCCCAGTAATCTTACAACTGATCTGTATTATTTCTGTACGTGTACGAAGAGGTGTTAAAATAATTAAAGCATGGAAAATAACATACCATAAAGTATAGATTCTGGCTTTGAGGAAAAAAGGTTTTAAATGTTTTTTTATATATATATATATATATATATATATATATATATATATTGGTTGGCACGTGCATGCCATGAATATGCTTCTTAATAAAGACTAACGCTTGCGACACAAATACCTAATACGAGGAATATTATTGCTTATACATATATGACATTAAAAAAAATATGAAACAAACAGGTGGATAAGTTTTGGAAATAAATGACTAAGTTAAAAGATAAATAAAAGTCAGTGAATGAATATGAAATAAGCTCTATTTTCTCGCGCGTGGTGATGCGTATGTCGAGCGTGGGAGTTTGACAAAATTACAAGTGTCCAGCAATGAAGTCCTACTTCCAATAGAAGAGGGCGAAGTTTGCCCATTGTTTGTCTGACTTTCTTTTCCTTCATCTGAGGGAAAGAGAACGCGAACGCGAATTTGTTGTGGTACATAGTTACATTATAACTTACAGACCACGCGAAACGTGAACCTCGTGATCGCTGGTCATCCTGTGAAAAAGCCGTGTTACGGAGGTTTAAAGTTATACGCATGTGGGCTTGTAGAGGGATGAATGAACATATAATCGTTGATAAAAAACATGTTTTGCTTCTTTTGATTTGCTTCAAAGTTGTTTGGCTGATTAACGAGTTTTTATGATATTTCATTTCTATAGACGAGACAGCGAAGGGTTTCGCAACCCTGCACGTCTACGTTGTGGTTCAATTTTATCCCCGGTTCAAATTTTATTTTATCGTCGTGTCTGAGAGCGGGCAGTATTCTCCCCATCCGGCCCGCTCACAGCTCCATGGGTTCTTTTCGCAACCATTTGTTAGGTTTTAGAAAAAAATAAAAATGTTATTACTCTGTCTTGTGTACCGCCCGAGGCCTGTATCCAAGACCTCGGGCACAGTTTTTCCCGATACGGACCTCCCGTCTGGTGAATAACATGTATTTATCTATTTAAAGTAACACGCGCAAGACGACCTCGAATTTTCCGCAAGGTACCCTAACTTGTCGACAGTCACCTTAACCAAGAAATTAAGATTAACATTCTCTTTAAGCGGTCAGGTGCATTTCGGCTCAAAAGATTTATTTCTTTCAAACTTTACCCACGAGATGGCCCTTGTCTAATCAACTTTACGAGACACCTTCTTAATGATCGGCGCCGTTAAAAATTGGCCTTTGAGTGCTAAAACCATTTTCGCTCGGGAGAAAATTATTTCGCGATATTTCGAAAAACCAAAGTGGTTTAAACTATTTAGACTATGACAGATTCATGGGTAAGGTTTGAAAGGAATCGATTTTTTTAACCGATATTTACTGGACTGCTTTAAGAGAGACTGCATTTTTATCTCCTTCAATAGTGCATATAAGCATGGAATGAAAATGTACTTAGCTGTGACGATGTCTTTGCAAAGATCAATAACAAGCAAAACGTTTCAAATGAGTTCTACATAGAAGTGTCATAACTGATATCCTTCAAGGCTAACATTTTTAGACAGAATTGTCACAATATGGCACCCTATATATCTAAAGCTCAATCTTTTTGTCACTCATTTTTGAATCTACGATGAAGCTATAAAAACATTGAAAATGATGGTGTACGTCATTAGTTGCCAGAATAATTTAAAGTCAAAATCGAATCGATGAATAAAGTATTGTCATAGCCTACCTTATTTCAAATAACTTTCTTAAATAAGTGTTCAGGTTATTAATAACTTCCCAGCGATAACGCTCAGAATCGTCCAACAGGATGTTTGCATTCGGCATTCGACATTCGTCATTCTATTTCGATTTGTAAACTTCAATGGTTTTTGAACTTTAATGGCTTGACAATTTGACAGCTTCAGTCTTGTTCAACCGATTAAATTATTTGAACCATTCTAACAAAGATTCTGATTGGCCTACTGCAGCGTGCTCTATGACAGTACAGATGCACACTCACGCCACCTCTCTTCGTTTGGAATATAAATTTTGTTTTGAATACGAATATGAATGCTTGGGGAAGATATATTTTTTTATTATTATTGTTCGCATCATTCCAAAATGGTAGCTAACCGAGATAATCTGGTTCGAATAGCATTAAAACGAGGCATCGGGGGCCACAGGTGGCTTCTTCGAGAAAAAACGTTGAAGCGGTCCTTCATTTCGAGCCGATGGAGATATTCCTTAAAGTTGTTCAAATGGGAGCGTTCCTTCGTCTCGGTTAAAGAATGCTGAACTTATGTTATAGCTACAATGTCGGGGCGATTTGTGCAAAGGATTGTCAACAAAGGCGTTAGGTAACTCTGTAAGCGGTACGTACATGTCACCAAAAGACTTGGCCAAACTGCTTGTTTCTTTGTGCTCTTTTTTTTGTTCAGGGTGAACGAGTACTTCAAGACAAATATTCCACACGTTTACTTGTCGACCCAAACGAGAACTTTATTATACAAAGCGTAAACGTCGCCTCTTGTCCAGCACAGTTCCAAGCTTGGGCTAGTTTTAACACATCCACTATGTGCAATTTACCTCTGGAAGACACTCGATTTGGGGAATGCCCTCTTGGCTTCTTTGGTTCATACCAACCAACCCTGAGTGTTGTGGGTCATTTATGAGCTGTAAAGCTCATTACTTTTAGACGGAGACTCTCGTGTTTCTGGCACCCAACCTCAGTGCCGTCGATGATGACTCTGGTGGATGAGTATCTTTTTCCTTTAAATCGGCAGGTATATGTCCCTCAACCTTTTCCCTTGAAGGCCACAATGGAAAGGTGGTAATTTTCAAAAACATAAAATTTATCGACGAAATGATGATGCAGCTCAGAGGAGTCCGAGATATATTAAATAAATTGGTTAAATGCCGTTCCCTGAACCCTTGCCTCAACCAACAAAGAGTTTTTCAAAATTATTACTTGATTTTTAGCTGCCATTTTTAGGGGTATCCTCACCAGCTCTCTAATTTTCCATAAAATCATCTGATTGTGAATGCCAATAGATAATATTATCTCCTTCGCTTCCAGGGTTTAAACATGCATAGATACTATCGAACACTGCGCGGTTAGGAAATCCTGTATAGAAAATAAAATCCTTATCATACTCCACAAATTTGTCTAAGGTAATTATGTTTGCTTGCAACATCGTTTTGGGGCGACCCAATTCCGCAACTTCTGATTTCAAGCTCTCCTCTTCGGCAGTGATGTGACGAATTTCTTCCATGAGGCGTTTATTTCCGGCTTTAAGTTCAAAAACCAAATTCTGTAAATCTCCGTCTATATTATCGACAGTGCCTCTTTTAAATTTTAAGTTTGAAAGTGCTTCTATTCCGCTAGGAGAAGAAGAACTAACAAAAGCGTTATGTCAGATCATAAATGAGTCAATAAACAGCTATCCGGAGGTAACTTCGCTGACATCAAATTTAGGAATTCGATAAATATGGTAATCATTCAGATGCATAAATATGAGGTCATTCGTAAAATTGCCTCAAAAAGATCCTTTTCCAAACTCGCATGTATATAAGAGACAGCTATAACAATGCATGATCAGCTTATTTGAACCAAAAAACAATGACACTGTAAACGTTTATTGCGCCATTGTTACGTTCAGGCATCGATATCCACCATCCTCTGAGAATTAATGACCAACCGTCATATTGTACCTAGTATCATAAACATTTTAGACATGGTAGGAAGGTTAAAAGTCATTTTATTCGACCAACATAACGTGACTAAGCTTGTAACACATACACTAAACATGAGCTCATGATATCAGTGATAACATAAATCTAGATCTTCGACGTTTTTGTGGCGTTTCATGCAGTTGTCTCGTTTTCATGCAGAGTTCGCTGGGTCATTTCTAAAGAATCTTCTACAAAGCGTTGGAACAGGTTGCAATAAGAATTTTTCCCGTTATTCAGGGTCCCCTTTCATGAAGAAATACTGAGCACCAAAAATTTGCCCCACTGAGGCCTTCCCCGAAGAACTTGATGGAGGAGTAAACCTATTGTCACGCTATAATCTGACCGCCAGAAAAAGACAACAATCCTACAAACTCAACTACTTTATTACACAGCGATTAATATTCTTAACAAGGAGTGACTCCCAAAAGCAGTACAATACTTATCGTTACTAAGCTTAATAAGCCCACTAAGCCCACCACAGTCTTTATCCCAGCTTGCCACTGACACAATCTCCAAAGTTCCTTGAAATAAGCAATCTTCCGCAGTAACTCTCTCTCGGTATAGCTTTAAAAGACAGTCCTCGCCCCGACAGCAACAACTACTCCTACTACTACGTAAGTGAATCTTAACATATTTTATGGAACCTTCCAGAGGCTTACAAAAGACCTTTTTTAATAGTATTTCCTAATAACTGCGTAACTTGATGAAATGTTTTGGAAAGTTCCATGATATGTAAGTCAGCATGACTAATCAGTCTAGAGATTTCTAGAAGCTTATATTTACAACAATTACTCATAACACTATAATTTTTGCACGATTGACGAGCTCAATCTAAGACTTTGTAGAAGAATAGAAGCGAAGGGGCAGTTCCCAGACAAGGACTGACGTTTCTCTTTTCAGACACATTTTAAAATTTTAAAGCCCCTGATGAGATGTTAGGCTCTAAGAAAGGAGACTAGGTGCCTCTTCTCAATTTATAACCTATCCCAGCACCACGCCTTAAATAAATCCCACCTCCATACTTAAAGCAGATGAGTTTATTTAAAAGTGAAGACAATGACGGATTTACAATGCAATTTCCTGATTAGGGTTCGCTGGTAAAAAATTGGAACTCTTTCGTCTCTTCAGGGACACAACAGACCCTGACCCAGCTGGCGTTAGGGCCGGATCGTCGAACCTTTGACGGCAGCGGAGCATCCGCCAAAGGGCATTCCTAAATCCTGGGACTCTAAACGGATAAATTATCACGTTCACGAGAGAATTGCTAAATTGTAAGACCCTAACGAGTAGGATTGACACTGTCGAGTAGGAAAAATTTGCTGTAACGCCAAATTGTAGCACTATATTAAGAATTTGAAATGGAAGCCAAGTCAAAATAGAAGCTCCCGTTATCAAAAATAAAGTCTTTGCTAACCTAGCCTCCCTTGACTGATTCTGGTTACCCATCGATGATCTCTGTATATTCCAGATGACATAATATGCAAGACACATAACTATAAGAGGCACGGCAGGACAAAAAATAAGAAGGCCCCTTACACTGTTAAGAGTAAAAAGTAAAACAGTGATTATTGTTGCCATGATCCACGGTGTGGCAATAGCACAGATGTAAGCACGAAGTTTCAAAGTTCTATGACGATGAGGCCAAGCGAGGGCAAACATCCTCTCCACAGAAATGACGCCAAGGGTGTAGATGGAAGCTAACGCTGTGAAAACGTCAAAACGGAGGAATACCGTGTCTACAGTTATCCAAGATGCTTCATATGCTCCTATAAAAAGAGGGATGGTCAACAATCCCACAAGTAAATCAGCAACAGACAAGCTGATTAGAAGAAAATAAGTTCGTTTGCGTTGTTTCCGCTTCAGGAATATCCAGATGGTTAGAGTATTTCCAAAGACGATCAGTATCGCCAACAATCCAAAACACAGGAGCCAGAACATGTTCCATGAGCACAAATCCATTTCAGCAAACTGTTTTTTCCTCCCAAGATGTAACAAGAATACCCTTTTTGTAGCAAAATAAGAATATACCAAATGATTTAACGATAAATTTTTCTACGAGACAAGTAAAACAGCAATATTTCATTTTCCTGTTGTAATGATATCGTTATAGGTTTCTTAAGATATCAATAAACCATGTTTTGTTCAGTTTTGTTTTAGTGTTTTTTGTTTTTGCTTTTTGTTTGTTTGTTTTTTTTATTGTTCAGCAAAGGAAGGAAAATTGTAGAGTAGAAATCATACACTTGGGTTTCAAAGAGATCGAGTTTGCAAAGCCAGTTTGATTTCAAATCAGAAGAAAAGAGGGTGACCTCTGGGCTGCCTCAATATTTGAATTTATCCTTTCGCTGTGTCGGACTTACGAAATATGGTCAAATGATAGCAAGAAACTTTTTGCTTTGAGTAGTCCCTCCTTTTCTACGAAGCCCGTCGCGCAAGTAAAAAGAGGTCGCACCTAGAGCTCCACGCAGCATGCTGAAATTAATTTTTTTCCACTTTTTTTTAACTCGAGAAGGAGAAACTGCTTCTAGTCTAATAAAATCCAGAAACTTCTTCATCCGTAATCCTTTACCATGAAAGAAAGAAAGAAAGAAAGAAAGACAATACACTTAAGATTATATATGCGAAAGTTGAAATCGCGAAATTACTGTGAATTACTTTCATACAAGAGATTATAAACAGTTTATAATCTGTTTCACACATATATATTATATATATACATACATATATAGGAAGTCTGTGTATTGATTTTTCCGTTTTACAGTGCTCGATACGTAAAAGTAGAGCGTGATATTTGTTGCGATAGGGGAAAAAACAGAGAGACTATACTTTTATCACTACAAGCCTGTTTTGTGATTGCTCACTCATCAGGGGATTTTATTGTTAAAAATTTTCGTACTATCGTTTATATACTTAATAAATTTGCATAAAAATAATACTTCAATTGTTACATATACATATATATATTTATTGTTTTTTTAGAGGGCACGGTAACGAATCTTGCAATCTGATTGGTTCTTTACCCGGTCAGTATTTTCCTATCTCTGCCCACGGGCCACAGTAACGCTTTCGTGAGTCGCCGAGTACATCCCAACTTTCGTTGTCATTTTTCATAAATATACCTCGTTTTCCGGCTGGGCAGTATTTTTAAGCAAACACGTCGGTCACTACCTCAAGCCGATAAATAACTTATGAATCCTCTCTTTTCTCTCTATCAAATCACTTTGGTTGACAGAAAAATATTGGTTTCAGAATGAATTTGTATAAACAATAGTGTCATTACGTTGGTTGACAAGCGGCCTAAAAACCTTCTGCAATTAATTTTAATCGTTCACAAAAAGTACCCAGAAAGTTGGAACGTGGGGTATTTGGTTACAGTTAAACTGAACGATGTAACTTTCATTCATTTAATATCTGAATTTTCTCGAGCAATTTGTTCATAGTGAAAGAGCGAGCGAAGTTTTAATTTAAGTTCTCCAACAAATATACGCTCCTGAGTCTTTTCAATTCCGTTCAATTTGGACATTTGTACCTTAAATTGCACAACAGAAATTGAAGGAATTTTTTGAGAAAAGGCCGCATTACATTCCCTTGTGTCTCGTTGGAGTGTGCCGTTCGAATTTAGTTTTTGTGAAGGAAAGATCAGAGTTAAACACGCCATTACAGCAAACAAACGAGCAAACTCTCACAACTTCAAAATAAAAAGATTGAATTTACTCACAATTACTTTCCTCGCCGTTTACTTAATGAACAGAGGTAAATCTTCGTACATGAATGAATCGTCGATGAGAGAGAATAATACTTTCCGTTAGATCATTAACTGATTTTGAAGAAAACATTGTCGTGACAGTCCTTGCCAAACTAGTTCTGTTGGTTTTCAAATGTTCCTACGATTTTTTTTTCTTGCGCGCTCTCTAATTGACAGGTGTCAGATTGTGACAGATACTTGTAAAAATAATGTTTCAAAGTTTGTTTGGAAGCCTTTTAAATCACCTTTATCGTTACGGAAATGAAAATGTTTCGCTGAGGCATCTCTCTTAAATTTGCATCACCTCTATTTTAACTACCATTTACCCACTCAAAAATTGTTCAGTTTATGGAAGATCTTGCCGTATTTACGGCCATAAATCATTCGGGTTCTTTCGGGAAGAATTTCGTCAAGTTTAAAAACAATAAATATGTTATTTACCGGCTAAGGGTCGGTCCGTATGGTGAAAAACCGAGATCATAAGACCGAGGTCTTGAAAATGCTGCCCTCGGCCTACGGCCTCGGGCAGTATTTTCAAGACCTCGGTCACAGTTTTTCACCATACGGACCTCCCAGCCGGCAAATAACATATATATATACACATACATATATACATATATATACAGTTCAAAATGACTAAAATGAAACACGCATGATTCCCTGTAACTCTGAGTTTCGTGCTTACGCAATCGTGATCTGTCTGACGAGTGCGTAAATTGAATCTGACGTAAATGAAATCTGACGAGTGCGTAGGCACGAAACTCAGAGTTACAGGGAATCATTCGTGTTTCATTTTAGTCATTTAGAACTGTATTTTGCTCTACACTCATGTGTACTGAACACTCTCCAACAGCATTTGCTACAATTTCCCACAATTACATATATATATATATATATATATGAAATCTGTCCGATGATCGCGTAATGTATGTCGCGTATGTATGTATATATATATATATATACCATATATATATATATATATATATATATATATATATATATATACCATATAAACACAAGCACATGAATCAAGAGACATTTATAAGGTAACTTTTATTTTTCATTACTAAGTGAAGACGCTTTAAATCATTGAAAAGAGCTCAAGGAAACTGTTAGCTAAAGTATCTGATATCAAACTGATCCATCATCCGCTTCTGGCTAGCAATTTACAAGGTTTTCTTGCGTTCTCCCAACATCCCGTGTGGGTTATTACACTGGTAAACCGATAAAAACCGCGGACTATTGCACAGATTAAAGTTTGAAGGTTCATTTTAACCCGTTAATGTACCTTCCACAACCCGCAAATGTTTGACGATCGATTCAGTTTTTTTGTCAAGCTACTGTTTTTTCGACTTCTTTCGACATTAAAAAAGAGACGTCTATTCCTTGAACTTCTTATTTTCGGTTTGGTTTTAGAGGGAATAAAGTAAACCGGCATATCAATACTGGAATAGGAACTACCGATCTAGACAACTTATGATCTCTTGTCAAGCTACTGTCACTGAAGAACGTTACGTGCCCAAAAATCAAACGAACTCTTCCAGTATTTCCCTACATATTGTCAAACCTGAAGATTATGAATATCTACATGTCAAAATCGTAAAACAACTTAGGTCCCGTGCATAAGTTAAAATATTTCGCTAACTTCCGCCTCTTAGCGTGACAGCCGATTGAGCATAAGCAGATAAGTAATTTTCCCTGCTGTTATCTGAAAGGAATTGTATTGCATGTAACTTCCAATCAGTAGCAACTTGATAATAGTACCTTTAAATCAGCTCTTCGATGCTGGTCCTACACTGATAGATCAGTGTATGATAATCTTCCCTGAATGCACACAAGTGTGTCGTGTCAGAGCTTCCCTACAGTGTTACTCCACTGACCACGAAAAGTTCTGTCGCGGGCAACCGGAAATCAAGCCATTTACCAGTGGTCGGGAATACGAAATAATATAAAAAGAAAAAATTACCATAAACTTTTCCTAAAGGCTATTCAAGTAAATCTTCATTTATAGGAAAAAGCAAAGTAATACGATAAATTATAAAACAGGAAGAAGTTGAAAGACGCTGGAAGGTAGAGTAACAGGGAGAGAACTTTTCAAATTTTTCCATGCACTACAAACGGTAACCGCTCGACGGAATTGCATAATTTTGGTTACGATTGTAACTCGTAGTCTCCTGGTGTATTCCTTGATCCCGATCAAAAATAATAATAAAAAGAAAATAAAAAAAATGTTTTGTACTCTTAACGTGCGCTTTTAACTGGATGTTTTTAAAACCAAGAACAGGAAATGGAAGATGAGGAACGAGGAACGGAGAACGGGGAACGGGAGTTTAGGGTAATTCTCGTAAAAATCCAATATGATGGATGAATAGGCGGAGTAAATATACGGTCAAAGGCAAGTTTCACTTTAAGTCGTACTAAATACGATTGAATAGAAAAACCCAAGGTTGCTCTTTGTGGTCTGTTGTATTTTAGATCGCTTTGTTTTCTCTGTTATATAGTATTTAGGCGCTGCTAAAATACAATTTTCGAGTCAAAATTTTTCGAGGGTATTTATAAGAATTATTTAGATAATTTTTGTGACGCAAAGGCAGGCTGTCTACGCATGGTGATTTTGTTGTTCGTAAGATACGTAAGTCTTACCTGCACTTTTTTTTTCAACGTAATTGAAATTTTCTTTGACCCAAAATGCGTACTTTCAAAGGTATATCAAACAAAAGAGAAACGAGCAAGAGAACAGCATTCGGCTAAGGTGGCGTAAGCTTCAATGAATAACAATGACATAGCAATCGTTTGATTTTGCATATCAGTGTAGACATAGCTTATTTTTAGGAACGTAGCTTTTGTCATTTTTGCACTTTACAGGAGACTTGGAATCGATTGCTTCAATCACCATAGTTATTATCCTACCTAAGGGCATATACTTTCAAGTTTCCTTTTGCTCATACAAACGTATCGAAAACTAAAATTTTGAATTGGTAACGTATATTGGCCACCGTAAAAAGTTTCTAAAGCTGATGTTTTTGTTTGTTGTAATACCAAGGAAGGAGCTTGGTAAATAAATAATTGTCTCAACGTACCTCACTTTCAAGAACTTTCCTAAATAGATCCTCAGTTTCGCTTAAAAGCTACGGCGATATCGCTCATAGTCTAGCAAGGCGTTTGCATCACGAAGCCAACTATTTATTACCTTTGAACAGCCGGTCAAAAGGAAAATTGTTCTGACTAATTATCAGTTCAAAGTAACTTCTGACGGCGCGTTCTGGAAAGTGACAGATGACGAGGAAAGCTAGTTACAATGAGTCTTTCTAAATCTAAAATTTATTGCCTTGATCGAACATGTCAGCTGTAAGCGTCACATTATCTCGCTATATTTGTATTTTTATTTTACCTATCAAGGATCGCTGTCATCCCACACATTAGGGCACTATATTGCTTTTTATTTTTTCCTTTATCATTTAGGCACACACGCGTCGAAAACTAAAGTTTTCCAACGATCAGCGTTAATGTTAAAGAAGTTAGAGGTATTTCGATTATTCTCTGAGCGTCATGATATGTCATCATTTTAAATATGTCCTTCCAACGTGTATCCTTGACATCAATATTTGGATGACAGACAATAGCTCGGTAAAAACAATTTTCATCTCCATTGACCGCGACTGCTCTGCTTTTAATTTGAACGAAAACTTTCACTTCCCCCGAGTCAACATTATCTTAATCAATTTACGATAAAACTATGGCGAAAAGGTTGTTATCCTAAGGAAAAAGAGAAAAAAAGAATTGAACTCAAACTGAAGCTTATTTACAATACAAATGAAAAATCAATGGTCTTGCCGTCTGTTTAAGTATTACATATTCGCTTCGTCCTCAACCTCTCCGATCGCTTCGTTGACATTAGCCGCGACAACTTCGTTTGATGTGTGACCACAGCACAGAAGTTTGCGAAATTCGGTTTGGAACCCACAATTTGTGAAAGCGTAAATAAAAGGATTTATTGTAGCGCTCAGAAAAAGGAAAAACGTGACGAGAATTACTGCTATTCTAGGACAGGTTTCTGGAGAGAAACGCTTCCAAAGCATGAATGCCCACATTGGTATCCAGCAACACAAAAATCCAGCGGCCACGTACAACAAGACTCGAGTAACATGTATCTCCTTCAATGAACTTCTTCCTCCACAATTAGTCCTGTCACCGAGCGATGGAGCCGTGTTCAATTGATGTTGATGAGTAGTGGATAATACCTTGTAGTAGCTGAATATACCACTGCATAGCGGTACTATGAAAAACAATGCGAATGTTATGCAAAAATGAACGACTCGAACCCTCTGATTTGCGAAACCAAGGCGCACACGTCAAAGCCAGGTACGAATTCAAAACTGAGAAAATTTGTCGTTCGACCAGTCAAAAGGTAAAGCACAAGAAAAGTCCAAACGCAAAACAACCAAATTTTGGATCTGAGGGGCGAAAAATATTTCTTATGTTTCGCCGTCTTCACAATTTTCACATAGCGGTTGACTGCTGTCAAACCAAGGGTTGCTGGGGTCGCGTATGTGGTGAAAACATCAACAAAGCCTTGAATTTCGCAGACGACGTCGCCAAAGTCCCATCTACCAATAACAAGCGTTGAAGAAGCTAAAGGCATTTCAATTGTTGCGCACAACAAATCGCTGACTGCTAAAGCAATGATATACAGGTTGGTGGTTGATCGCAGGTTTGAGTTTCTGTATGCTGCTATACAAACCAGACCGTTTCCAATGATGCTTGTGATGTTCAGTGTAAGGCAGATGCCTGCCTCAGTTATAACTGCAGCTAAGCTTCGATTTGGTAGCTTCAGGTCTGACATCTTGTCCAGCAAAATAACGAATAAAAAAATTTAATAAAGAACCAGAGAAATAGAGAAGGAAAACCGAATAAATTTCTAAAAAAGTTAACAAAATAGAAAGGGAAAATAGAAAAGTCCGTTACTCGCTCCAAGCGTTTGTGGTATAACAAATTCTTTCTATTCGTTTATCCATTTATTTACTTATTTTTTCTTTATTTATATCGTCCAAGAGAATATCAAAAGTTGATATTCTCTTGTATCGTCATATATCTTCATTCAATTTTGGCCTTCTATTTCATTTACGCGACCTGACCGACATTTACACGACCCAACGGACTGTAAATTAGGAAAAAAGGTCAGAGTGCCTCTATCGTTGAATCAGAATTGCAATAACATTTTATCCAGTGTATTTCGGCTTGATAAAAAAACGAATTTGGCGCAAAACGGTTATCATAAAAGCAAGAGTCAAAACTTGACATTCTCTACCTGAATATTTTTTTTTTTCATCTGTAATTTATTCCTGTCACGGAAGACGTTGATCTGCAAATATTATTTCTTTAAAGCCGGCAATAGATCAAAGACTTCCTTCTCTTTCTTGTCGCTTGAGTAAGGTTTTAAACCATCCAAACCATTTTATTTTCCTCAAAGAGTCGGGAATGGAATATAAATATGTGGAAAGATCAATAAACAGTCCATGCATGCTCTCCGGCTAAATCTTGTTACCACTGAATTCTCGTAACACGTCTCTATCGGCGCATACGGGAGTTTGAAAACATTTATTCGAAAAATATTTTTCGAATAAATGACAAACTTACATCGAGAGGTAAATGGTATTATCAGCCGAGTTGACAACGTAAATTGGCCACCGTTAGGAGTCTCAAAGCTGACGTTTCGAGCGTTAGCCCTTCGTCAGAGCGAATGGCAAAACTCTTAACGGTGGCCAATTTACGTTTTCAACTCAGTTGAAAATAAAATTTACCTAGTTATACTCTCCCACCGACGCAGCACCACAGTTTCTTTAGAAACCTACGCCCTTTTTACATCGAAAGGGTTATAAATGAGGGCTTCTGGTCCTAGCATTATAGACGGAATAGCCGCAGTATTGAATTTCTTAGCCGAAATTTTTAGATCTACCTTGCTGTCAGTCTTCCCTGAATTTAGGGTACATCCATAGAAACAATGAAAAAAGAAGGCGCTCCTTAAATGATCGATGCATAGTTTAGAGCAATTTTTCGCATAAAAAAAATCTTCAAAGCCTACTTTATCTCAATGGACTTCCTCAAACGGGTCCACGGTGGTCAATTTACGTTTCAACTCAGTTGAAAATAAAATTTACCCTACTATACTCTCCCACCGACGCAGCACCACAGTTTCTTCAGAAACCTACGCCCTTTTTACATCGAAAGGGTTATAAATGAGGGCTTATGGTCCTAGCATTATAGACGGAATAGCCGCAATACAAAATTTCTTATTCAAAATGTTTTATCTTACATCCAGAGAACTAATGGAAAAAGAAGACGCTCCTTATCATTTGCCCTAAATGATCGATGCAAAGCTTAGAGCAATTTTTCACATAAAAAAATCTTCAAAGCCTACCTTATCTCAATGGACTTCCTCAAACGGGTCCACGGGTTCCTTGAAGTTTTCCGGTGAGAACACTCAGAATGGAATAAGGCGTTTGCATTGGAAAATGGCATTATGTAAGTTGTGCACAGCTGTTCAACAAGGAGAGGTAGAACGTGAGCTGACTGATAATTTTTCCTTTTATGTATAGAAATTGAAGCTTTTGTTTATTTTTACCTCTCTGATCTCATGACATGTGACAAGAATGGACGTAATAAGTCTGAATTACGCGACGACCTGCTAAAGGATGACTTTTGCCTGTGGCTAGGGAACATACCTTTCGATCGGTTAGACAATAAAGTCGTTTAACATTTGTTTGACCCATTCAAAAAGGTGACAGATAGATTACACTGGGTGATTCCTGCAGTTTTCCATAGAAAGGAGCAATAAAAAAGACTCCCCGTTCCTCTTTCCCCGCTCCCCGTTCTCCGTTCCCCGTTCCCCGTTCCCCATCCTAATTTTCCATTCTACATTACTCATGACTTACGACAATCAAAGAAGTAAACGAACTGGAAAGCAGAACGTGCCAAGCGGCGGAACACAACAACCGCTGGAATGAGGGAAAAAATATTATCTTCTTGCGCTATGTAGACGTACAGGGTTACGAAACCCTTCGCTATCTCGTCCATAGTAATGATATTTTAAGAAACTCATTAATCAGCCAAACAACTTCGAAGCAAATCAAAATGAGCAAGGCTGGGTGATTTTTTGACAAAAAAACATCGTTTTTATCAATGATCACATGTTTATTCATCCCTGTACAAGCCTACATGTGTATAAGCTCAAACCTTCGTAACACAGCTTTTTCACAAGATACAAGTGGATCACGAGGGTCACGTTTCGCGTGATCTGTAAGTTATAAAGTAACAATGTACCAAAACAAGTTCGTGTTCGCTTTCTCTTTCCCTAAGATTAAGGAAAAGAAAGTCAGACAAACGATGGGCAAACTTCGCCCTCTTCTATTGGACGTAGGACTTCATTGCTGAACACTTGTAGTTTTATCAAACTCCCACGCTCGGCATTCGCATCACCACGCGCGAGAAAATAGAGCTTAATTCATATTCATTCATTGACTTTTATTAATCTTTTAACTTATTCATTTATTTCCAAAACTCGTCTACCTGTTTGCTTTATTTATTTATTATTTTTTAAATTTCATACAAGTATAAGTGATAGTTATCCCCGTGTTAGGTATTTATGTCGTAAGTGTTAGTCTCAATTAAATATTCTGACTAATTTAAATAAGTGAATATTTAAGTGATAATTAGCGGCTAACCGAACCAGCTTAGTTGTTAATCCTTGGCTTCCTTAGACACGAGAATGAAGGAATGATCACCAACTCAACAACCCTCGAATTTAACCAAAATTCTTCTTTTCAGTACCATTGGAAATATAACGAAAACAGTAAAGAGAAGATGCATATCGATCTAAAGAGAAAATATAGTAGACAAATGAGGAAATAAAGGAAATGCGCAAGAGAACCAATGTAAGGAACCGGTCATTAACATTCAAAATTCAATAGCTTCCTCCCCCCCTCGAGCCCTTTTGACTCTCTCGGTGACGACTGATACCCACTCAGTTCCCCTTGTAAACCATATGATTCCCCAAAAAATCTCTCCCCTTCCCCCTCAGGTGACAAATAATACCTGATCATACTCGTGATAACGAGTACAGTACAGCGTACATACAAACAGTGTAGCGTTGAGTGAAATGGCTCAGCGTAATGTCGAATCGTACAGCGTACACACAAATAGTGGAACGTTAGGTCGAATAGCTTTGCAGAACATCAGACGCTCTATCTGAACATTAAATTGCTTAGTATTACTTGAAATATTTCGATGTTGTGGCGAATCGCCGAGCTTGCTTGTTGCGTGACGTGAAGGCCATGCCATTCCTTTATTAGCTATGCTATCCTGCAGCTGATCCTTAGACCATCTTTGTATTTGCTGATCTATTTGATATCTGGTTAAGAATATATGAAAGTCATATATTTGAACTGCGGATAAAGACGTTAATGAAAGTGATCCTCGCAGTAATGTGCACTACTTAGGCAGTAGTGAAAATAAGGCCTGATATCCTTGTATTTTTGGTGGTGACGGCCGCCAAGGCTATCGCGCCGAAACCACCAAAAATACAAACCGCAAATGGAACAGCGATCTGCTGGGGGCATGACGTCATCGAATGTGAAGACTGCCGCGAAACCATCACATGGCGTAGGCACCGTATTGAATAGTCTTCACTTCGCTTTGCCGTAAAGCAGAGCCAATTCGGTCAGTTTCTCCTCTTTTTTCCCTGCCGATATTGCATTTATTCATTGTCGTTCGTGAAAGCATCAATTAAAATAGCAACGAGGCTGAATTCTACCACGCGGTTGTCGGCCTCCCGGTTTACCCGCGTTGGTGGGCCTGAATATGTTTATAGTTTACATTTTGAATTTTATGTGTGCCCTGGACGCCATGGTGAGAAAACTGATACCCTTGATCTGTTTTGACATTTTTCAATCAAACTGAGTGATATCGGAATGCTTTTAATTGGTGTGTGGACGACAAAACCAACTCGGAAAAAACGTTGCTTTGGCAAACACTACATGTTTGATTGAAAATTATAAAATAATTCAAATAGTACGCGCGCTCTGATTGGCCATAAAACCATTTTACATGAGCCTATGTAAACACGGTTTTCGTTCCTCTTTCATTAGTTATTTTATAAAAGAAATGTAAAATGGTTTCCGTGTTTACATAGCCTGATGTAAACACGTGGGAGGTTGGGAGAATACTCGATAGGCTGGAAACCACTCCGCTTCGCGTCGTGGTTTCTTACGCTTATCTCGTGTTCTCCCAACCTCCCGCGTGTTTAGATCAGGCTATGTAAACACGGAAACCATTTTACATTTCTTCAATGTCAAAACAGATCAAGGATATCAGTTTTACTTACCATGGCGTGCAAGGCACACACAAAATCCAACTTCTCACGTATTCCTGCAATGTTCAAAGAGCCTTTTCAGTTAAACTCTCATTGAAAAGTAAGTGCGAGTCAGAAAAGAAAGGAGAGCTCGGCAATCGACATTTAATGCACGTCTTAACGCTACTTAATACTATAAACATTCAGGCTCACCAACGCGTGCAAACTGTGGTAAACCGGGAAGCCGGGAGGCCGGCAAACCATGGTAGAATCTAATCTCGTTGCTATTGTAATTAACGCTTTCATGAACGACAACAAATAAATGCAATATCGGCGGGGGAAAAAAGGAGAAACTCACTGAATTGGCTCTGCTTTACGGCAGAGCGAAGTGAACACTCTTCAACACAGCGACTACACCATGTGAAGGTTTCGCGACAGTCTTCACATTCGATGACGTCATGCCCCTCAGCAGATCACTGTTCCATTTGCGGTTTGTATTTTTGGTGGTTTTGGCGAGATAGCCTACACGTCACGCCACAAGCAAGCTCGACGATTCGCCACAACATCGAAATATTTCGTGTAATGCTAAGCAATTTAATGTTCAGAGAGAGCGTCTGATGTTCTACAAAGTTATTCGACGTAACGCTACGTGTACGCTGTACCATTCTATATTACGCAGAGCCATTTCACGCAACTTTACGCCATTTGCGTGTACGCTGTACCATTCGACATTACGCTAAGCCATTTCACACAGCGCTACACCATTTGTGTGTACGCTGTACCATTCTACATTAAACTGAGCTATTTCACGCAACGGTACACCGTTTGTGCGTACGCTGTGCTACTCGACATAACCCTGTGCCATTTGACGCAACGGTACACCGTTTGTGTACTGTGTTGCAATTTCATGTTCCAACTCGACATGGGCAACTGGACCGTTTATCATTTATCAGCTAAACTATTCCTGTTTAGGGTGTTCTGTTTCATGAAGGAAAACTAAACCGTCTATAATTGGCCATGCCATTCCTTTATTAGCTATTCTATCCTGCAGCTGATCCTTAAACCAGCTTTGTACTTGCTGATCTATTTGACATCCTTGTATTTTTGGTGGTGACGGCCGCCCATAGTTCACACTACCTTTTTTCTTCTTCCTTAGCTTTCTTTGTCTACTTTTCCTTCCGCTTATAATTCTCGAAGAACAAGAAGGACAATCAATATGTTTTTTTTGTCCAACTTCGAAACAGATTTTCTCAGGAACCAAAAGAAACATAAAAAACGCCGATCACTTTTGTTAGCCTATTATCCTCTAAGTTATACGGTTTGGATGTCCGCGTCAACGCGGAGCCTGGCAATTTAAGTAAGCGGACACCTGAAGTTTTGTGTTTAAGGGCATGCACGTGCCAACTTATTAAAAAACTTTTTAAAACCTTTTTTTCCTCAATGCCAGAATCTTTACTTTATGGTTATTATTTTCCATGCTTTAATTATTTTAAAGTAACACGCGTAAGACGATTTTGCCGTAAGGCACCCTACTTTGTCGACAGTAACCTTAGCCAAAAAATTTAGATACAGTTTCTCTACAAGCGGTCCGGTGCATTTCGGTTCAAAAGATCGATCTCTTTCAAACTTTACCCATGAATCGGTTGTAGTCTAATTAATTTATGAGACACCTACTTTATGATCGGCGCCGTTGAAAATGGGCCTTTGAGTACTTAAGCGATTTTCGCTCGGAAGAAAATTTCTTTGCAATATTTCGAAGAATCAAGGTGGTTTAGACTATATTTAGACAAGGACAGATTCATGGGTGAGGTTTAGAAGACATTGATTTTTTTTTAAGCCGAAATGCACCAGACCCCTTTAAGAGGGACTGCGTTTTATTCTCCTCCATTAGTGCATGTAAGCGTGGAATGAAAATTTACTTCGCTGTGACGATGTCTTAGCGAAGATCAATAACAAGCAAAACGTTTCAAATGAGTTCTACAAAAAAGTGTCATAACTGATATCCTTCCAGGCTAAAACTTTTTAGACAGAATTGTCACAATACGGCATCCTATATTAAAAGCTCAATCTTTTTGTCACTCCTCCCTGAATCTAAGCTGAAGCTATAGAATCACTGGAAATGATGGTGTACGTCATCAATTGCTAGAATAATTTAAAGTTAAATCGAATCGATGAATAAAGTATTGTCATAGCCTACTTTATCTCAAGTAACTTTCCTATATGAGTGTTCAGGTTCTTAATAACTTCCCAGAGATAACGCTCAGAATCGAACAAGGTGTTCGCATTCGGCATTCAATTTCGATTTGTGAACTTTAATGGTTTGTGAACTTTAATGGCTTGACAATTTGACAGCTTCAGTCTTGTTCAACCGATTGATTTATTTAAACCATTCTTACAAAGATTCTGATTGGCTTACTGTAGCATGCTTTATGAGAATACAGATGCACACTCACGCCACCTCTCCTCGCTTGGGATGTAACTTTGTTTTGAATACGAATATGGATGCTTGCGGAAGATAAATTTTTTTTTATTATTGTTCGCCTTGTTCCAAAATAGTAGCTAACCAAGGTAATCTGGTTCGAATAGCATGAAAATAGCATGAAAAATGGCCGCAGATGCCGTCTTCGAGAAAAAACATTGCGAGCGGTCCTTCATTTCGAACCGATGAAGATATTCCTTAAAGTTGTTCAAATGGGAGAGATCCTTCGTCTCGGTTAAAGAATGCTGAACTTAGTTATGGCTACAATGTCGGGGCGATTCGTGCAAAGGATTGTCAACAAAGGCTTTAGGTAACTCTGTATGCGGTACGTACATTTCAGCAAAAGACTGGATCAAAATATTCCTTAGTGTGACCAAACTGCGCGCTTCTTTGAGCTTTTTTTTTTTTGTCCAGAGTGAACGAGTACTCCAAGACAAATATTCCACACATTTCCTTGTCGACCCAGACAAGAACTTTATTCATACAAAGCGTAAACGTCGCCTCTTGTCCAGCACAGCTCCAACCTTGAGCTAGTTTTGACACATCCACTATGAGCAATTTACCTCTGGTAGACACTCAATTTGAGAAATACCCTCTTAGCTCCTTTGGTTCATACCAGCCGACACTTGCAGATTCAAATTTTTCATTCATAAGCTTGCCAATAAGCAAACCCTTTTCGGCAGAATCTACTCTATCAAATTTCATAATGGGAATTCCTGACAACTTGACACTCTCTTTGTCAGAAATGTGTCCTGTAGAGAGCTAGCTTACAAAGGTAATGGCACTTCCTGGTTAGATACCAGAGAAACCGTTTAAGAGTGGTGTGCGTCATATATGAGCTATAAAGTTCACTATTTTTAGAAGGAGGCTCTCGCGCATCTGGCAAAGAACCTCGGTACCGTCGGCAGGCATATGTTCATCAACTTTTTCCCTTGAGGACCCAGAGGACCCAATGGAAAGGTTGTAAATTTCAAAAACATAAAATTTATCCACGAAATGGTGATACAGCTTAGGGGAGTCTGCCTTTATTTAATAAATTGCTGCAATGCTCTTCCCTAAACCCTTACCTCAGCCTACAGAGAGTTTTTAAAAATTCCTACTTTAAAATGGGAAGTTAGGGGAATCTTAACCAGCTCTCTTATTTTCCGTTAAATCATCTGATTTTGAATGCTAGTGGATAAAGTTATCTCTTTCACTTCCACGGTTTAAACATTCATAGATACAATCGAACACTGCTGGGTTAGGAAATCCTGTATAGAAAATAAAATCCATCGTTTTGCGGCGACTCAATTCCGCTACTTTTAATTTCAAGCTCTCATTTTCGGCAGTTTTGCGACGAATTTCCTCCATAAGGTGTTTATTTGCCGCTCTAAGTTCAAAAAGAAACTCTGTAAATTTTCGGCTGAATTATCGACAGTGTTTCTTTATAGTTTTAAGTTTAAAAGTGCTTTTATTATGAGAGAAAAAATCTTACAAAAGCCATTACGTCAAATCTAGAGGTAATTTTGTTGACATCAATTTCAGGAAGTCGATTAATGGTAATCATGCAGATGGATAAAAGTGAGATCATTCAAAAAATTGCCTCCAAAAGATCCTTTTCCAAACTCGCATGTATATAAGAGACATCTATAACAATGCATGATCAGCTTATTTGAACCAAAAACCAAAGACACTATAAAAGTTTATAGCGCCGTCATTACGTTCAGACATCGATCGATATCGATGTTTTTGTGGTGTTTCGTGCATTTGCTCGTTTTCATGCAGAGTTCGCCCTGCCATTTTTAAAGAATCCTCTACAAAGCGTTGGAACAGGTTGCAACAAGAGTTTTCCCGTTATTCAGGGTCCCCTTTCATAGAGAAGCAATGAGTACTCGTTCGCCAAAAATTTGCCCGCACTGAGGCCTTCCCCGAAGAACTTGATGGAGGAGTAAACCTATGTAATTTTTGCGCGATTGACGAGCTCAAACTGAGGCTTTGTAGAAGAGTGGAAGCGAAGGGGACGTTCCCAGGCAAGACCTGATGTTTCTCTTCTCAGATACATTTTAACATGTTAAAGCCCCCGATGAGATGCTAGACTCTAAAAAAAGAGACTAAGCCCCTCTTCAATTTATAACCTATCCCAGCACTAAACCTCACATAAATCCCACCCCCATACTAAAAGCAGATAAGTTTACCTAACAATCGAGACAGTGATGGATTTACAGTGCAATTTCCTGATTAGGGTTCCCTGGTGAACATTTGGAACTCTTTAGTTTTCTCAGGGACGCAACAGACTCTGACCTAGCTGGCGTTGGCGCCCGATCGTCGAACCTTTGATGACAGCGGAGCATCCGCCAAAGAGTTTTCCTAAATCCTGGGATTCTAAACGGATGAATTATCACGTTCACGAGAGAATTGCTAAATTGTAAGACCCTAACGAGTAGGAATGTAAATGTCGAGTACGAAAAATTTCCTATAACGCCAAAGTATAACACTATATTAAGAATTTGAAATGGAAGCCAAGTCAAAATAGAAGCTCCTGTTATCAAAAATAAAGTCTTTGCTAACCTCGCCTCTCTTGACTGATTCTGGTTGCCCATCGGTGATCTGTGTTTCTTCCAAATAACATAATATGCAAGACACATAACTATAAGAGGCGCGGCAAGACAAAAAATAAGAAGGCCCCATACGTTGATAAGAGTGAAAACTAAAACAGTGATCACTGCTGCCATGATCCACGGTGTGGCAATAGCACAGATGTAAGCACGCAGTTTCAAAGTTCTGTGACGATAGGGCCAAGCGACGGCAAACATTCTCTCCAAGGAAATGACGCCAAGAGTGTAGATGGAAGCTAACGCTGTGAAAACGTCAACACGGCGGAATACCATGCTTACAGTTACCGAAGATGCCTCATATACTGCTGTAAAAAAGAGGGATGGTCAACAATCCCACAAGTAAATCAGCAACAGACAAGCTGATTAGAAGAAAAGAAGTTCGTTTGCGTTGTTTCTGCTTCAGGAATATCCAGATGGTTAGAGTATTTCCAAAGACGATCAGTATCGCCAACAATCCAAAACACAGGAGCCAGAACATGTTCCATGAGCTCAAATCCATTTCAGCAAACTGTTTTTTTCCTCCCACGATGCAACAAGAATACCCTTTTTGTAGCAAAATAAGAATATACCAAATGATTTAACGATAAATTTTTCTACGAGACAAGTAAAACAGCAATATTTCATTTTCTTGTTGTAATGATATCGTTATAGGTTTCTTAAGATATCAATAAACCATGTTTTGTTCAGTTTGATTTCAAATCAGAAGAAAAGAGGGTGACCTCTGGGCTGCCTCAATATTTGAATTTTATTGTTTAGCTGTGTCGGACTTACGAAATATGGTCAAAGATGGCAAGAAACTTTTTGCTATGAGTAGTCCCTTCTTTTCTACGAAGCCCGTCGCGCAAGTAAAAAGAGGTCGCACCCAGAGCTCCCCGCGGCATGCTGAAATTAATTTTTTTCCACTTTTTTTTTTTACCCGAGAAGGAGAAACTGCTTCTAGTCTAATAAAATCCAGAAACTTCTTCATCCGTAATCCTTTACCATGAAAGAAAGAAAGAAAGAAAGAAAGAAAATACGCTTAAGATTATATATGCGAAAGTTGAAATCGCGAAATTACTGTGAATTACTTTCATACAAGAGATTATAAACAGTTTATAATCTGTTTCACACATATATATTATATATATACATACATATATAGGAAGTCTGTGTATTGATTTTTCCGTTTTACAGTGCTCGATACGTAAAAGTAGAGCGTGATATTTGTTGCGATAGGGGAAAAAACAGAGAGACTATACTTTCATCAAGCCTGTTTTGTGGTTGCTCACTCATCAGGGGATTTTATTGTTAAAAATTTTCGTACTATCGTTTATATACTTTATAAATTTGCATAAAGATAATACTTTAATTGTTACATATACATGTATATATATATATATATACACATACATGTATAGATATATATACAGTTCAAAATGACTAAAATGAAACACGCATGATTCCCTGTAACTCTGAGTTTCGTGCTTACGCACTCGTGATCTGTCTGACGAGTGCGTAAATTGAATCTGACGTAAATGAAATCTGACGAGTGCGTAGGCACGAAACTCAGAGTTACAGGGAATCATGCGTGTTTCATTTAGTCATTTAGAACTGTATTTTGCTCTACACTCATGTGTACTGAGCACTCTCCGACAGCATTTGCTACAAATTCCCACAATTACATATATATACACACATATATATATATATATATATGAAATCTGTCCGATGATCGCGTAATGTATGTCGCGTATGTGTATATATATATATATATATATACCATATAAACACAAGCACACGAATCGAGAGACATTTATAAGGTAACTTTTAGTTTTCATTACTAAGTGAAGACGCTTTAAATCATTGAAATGAGCTCAAGGAAACTGTTAGCTAAAGTATCTGATATCAAACTGATCCATCATCCGCTTCTGGCTAGCAATTTACAAAGTTTTCTTGCGTTCTCCCAACATCCCGTGTAGATTATTACACTGGTAAACCGATAAAAACCGCGGACTATTACCCAGATTAAAGTTTGAAGGTTCATTTTAACCCGTTAATGTACCTTACACAACCCGCAAATGTTTGACGATCGATTCAGTTTTTTTGTCAAGCTACTGTTTTTTCGACTTCTTTCGACATTAAAAAAGAGACGTCTCTTCCTTGAAGTTCTTATTGTCGGTTTGGTTTTAGAGGGAATAAAGTAAACCGGTATATCAATACTGGAATAGGAACTACCGATCTAGACAACTTATGATCTCTTGTCAAGCTACCATCACTGAAGAACGTTACGTACCCAAAAATCAAACGAACTCTTCTAGTATTTCCCTACATATTGTCAAACCTGAAGATTATGAATATCTACATGTCAAAATCGTAAAACAACTTAGGTCCCGTGCATAAGTTAAAATATTTCGCTAACTTCCGCCTCTTGGCGTGACAGCCGATTGAGCATAAGCAGATAAGTAATTTTCTTTCTTATCTGAAAGGAATTGTGTTCCATGTAACTTCCAATCAGTAGCAACTTGATAATAGTACCTTTAAATCAGCTCTTCGATGCTGGTCCTACACTGATGGATCAGTGTATGATAATCTTCCCTGAACGCACACAAGTGTGTCGTGTCAGAGCTTCCCTACAGTATTACTCCACTGACCACGAAAAGTTCTGTCGCGGGTAACCGGAAATCAAGCCATTTACCAGTGGTCGGGAATACGAAATAATATAAAAAGAAAAATTACCATAAACTTTTCCTAAAGGCTATTCAAGTAAATTTTCATTTATAGGAAAAAGCAAAGTAATACGATAAATTATAAAACAGGAAGAAGTTGAAAGACGCTGGAAGGTAGAGTAACAGGGAGAGAACTTTTCAAATTTTTCCATGCACTACAAACGGTAACCGCTCGACGGAATTGCATAATTTTGGTTACCATTGTAACTCGTAGTCTCCCGGTGTATCCCTTGATCCCGATGAAGATAATAATAAAAAGAAAATAAAAAAATACTTTCTCCTCTTAACGTGCGCTTTTAACTGGATGTTTTTAAAACCAAGAACAGGAAATGGAAGATGAGGAACGAGGAACGGAGA